TGCAGCTTCTGACGATCAGGTGTATTTGTTCTCAACAATATGTAGATGATGGTTGTCCTAGAGACATTCCATACATATGCGCCTTGATAGAGTGTGAAGAACTGTGATAGGTAGATGCCAGTTGATTGTCACTTCTCTATCGACAGCTAACAGTAAACAACACGAAACAGGAGAAGGAATCGCGCAAGTGTAAGGAAGCACCGTTATACCGCACAAATCACAGAAGTGTCGATATTCGGACGTATACAGTGCAGTGTAGCGACATGTGCGTGAATATTATGAAGATTCTGTCATAAATTGTGGATGTGACTAAAACCTAGCTACGGTAAGTCTAACTGTCGAATAGCTTTTATAATATTAACTATATCTTGTTTAGCGGAACCGGAATGGGCGACCAGGTATTTTTTCATCATGCTTGCTTTCAGATATTTGTTTAAAACAAGTAATTAACTATCTGGGAAAAAAAACCAGTTTAAAAAAAAAATGTGTTAAAATACAGACTTACTTGTTTCATTTTGACGTTAGATACTACGATTTACTAATGAACCAGCTTGATATTGATGTAATACAGATAATCAAATTCAAAAGTAGGCCAACGCAAGAAAAGTCAGTCATTAAAGAAAAAACACGGAAAATTCAAGAAAAGTCGCCCCAGATCCCGACATTCGGAAATTCTCAACGCCATCTTCAAGACATGTCTGTTGTTCACCATGCAGTTGCCTTTGACATTCTTTTAGTTTTTCATATATATAAAATCGAGAAAAGAAATGCAAACCTTATTTGTAATTTTTGAGTTATTAGTTTTAAAATAAGAAAACATGTCGACGTCTTGTAATATTAACAAATGTATCCAAAGGAATTATAACCGAAAGTTAGTCTTAACATTTTGCGCTGAACACGATTCCAGAAAATTAATTCATTATTGAAAATGGCAGTTCATTTCTCTCCCGAGATATTTACTTATGCGGAAATAAAAATCAATGCAAGTTTCCTTTTCTTGCTGAACACGACTGCAGCAAATATTATAAAGCAAGAACAATAAAACAAAACCTTTATTTTCCCCAAGTTTTAACCAGATACGCCTCAAACCTTTTTATGAGACTTTTATAAAGAATCCGACTAAACCGGGACCACTCTGTTCACGTGATGGAGATGTCGGAAATCTGTCAATAATCAATTGTGTGCGCGCCCGTATTTTTTAACGACACAGTGTTCGGATATTCTCCTAGAACATTATTAACGCTGTGGTACATTTGTATTGACCTTGAGTTCAGACATTATCTGTGTTTACTGACGCTGTGGTACATTTTTGTATTGACCTTGAGTTCAGACATTGTCTGTGTTTATTGACGTTTGTGGTACATTTTTGTATTAACCTTGAGTTCAGAAATTGTCTGTGTTTATTGACGCTGTGGTACATTTTTGTATTGACCTTGAGTTCAGACATTGTCTGTGTTTATTGACGTTTGTGGTACATTTTTTGATTGACCTTGAGTTCAGCCATTGTTCGGTTTATTAACGCTGTGGTACATTTTTGTATCAACCTTGGGTTCAGACATTGTCTGTGTTTATTGACGTTTGTGGTATATTTTTGTATTAACCTTGAGGTCAGACATTGTCTGTGTTTATTGACGTTTGTGGTACATTTTTTGATTGACCTTGAGTTCAAACATTGTCTGTGTTTATTGACGCTGTGGTACACTTTTGTATTGACATTGAGTTCATACATTGTCTTTGTTTATTAACGCTGTGGTACATTTTTGTATCGACCTTGAGTTCATACATTGCCTGTTTTTATTAACGCTGTGGATCATTTTTGTATTGACCTTGAGTTCAGACATTATCTGCGTTTATTGTCTATGTGGTACATTTTATATTGACCTTGAGTTCAGACATTGTCTGTGTTTATTAACGCTGTGATACATTTTTGTATTGACATTGAGTTCAGCCATTGTCTGTGTTTATTGACGCTGTGGTACATTTTTGTATCGACCTTGAGTTCATACATTGCCTGGTTTTATGAACGCTGTGATACATTTTTGTATTGACATTGAGTTCAGCCATTGTCTGTGTTTATTGACGCTGTGGTACATTTTATATTGACATTGAGTTCATACATTGTCTGTGTTTATTGACGCTGTGGTACGTTTTTGTATCGACCTTGAGGTCAGACATTGTCTGTGTTTATTAACGTTTGTGGTACATTTTTTGATTGACCTTGAGTTCAGACATTGTCTGTGTTAATTGACGCTGTGGTATATTTTTGTATTGACCTTGAGTTCATGCATTGTCTGTGTTTATTAACGCTGTGGTACATTTTTGTATCGACCTTGAGTTCAGACATTGTCTGTGTTTATTGACGTTGTGGTACATTTTTGTATTGACCTTGATGTCAGACATTGTCTGTGTTTATTAACGCTGTGGTACATTTTTGTATTGACCTTGAGTTCAGACATTGTCTGTGTTTATTGACGCTGTGTTACATTTTTGCATGGACATTGAGTTCAGACAGTGTCTGTGTTTATTGACGCTGTGGTACATTATATATTGACCTTGAGTCCAGACATTGTCTGTGTTTATTGACGCTGTGGTACATTTTTGTATCGATCTTGAGTTCAGACATTGTCTGTGTTTATTGACGTTGTGGTACATTTTTGTATTGACCTTGAGGTCAGACATTGTCTGTGTTTATTAACGCTTTGTTACATTTTTGCATGGACATTGAGTTCAGCCAGTGTCTGTGTTTATTGAAGCTATTGTACATTTTTGTATCGACCTTGAGTTCAGACATTGCCTGTGTTTATTTACGCTGTGTTACATTTTTGTATTGAACTTGAGTTCAGACATTGTGTGTGTTTATTGACGCTGTGTTACATTTTTGTATTGAACTTGAGTTCAGACATTGCCTGTGTTTATTGACGCTGTGGTACGTTTTTGTATCGACCTTGAGTTCATACATTGTCTGTGTTTCTTGACGTTGTGGTACATTTTTGTATCGATCTTGAGTTCAGACATTGTGTGTGTTTATTGACGCTGTGGTACCTTTTTGTATTGACCTTGAGTTCAGACATTGTGTGTGTTTATTGACGCTATGGTACATTTTTGTATTGAACTTGAGTTCAGACATTGTCTTTGTTTTATTGACATTGTTGTACATTTTTGTATCGTCCTTAATTAATTAAAACCTGTTTTACTCAATCGTGCAAATGTATTACAAAGATACTGATTCTAACTGTTTTTCTCTATATGGCCCAAGTATTTGATCCAAACAATGTTTTGTATTATCACCAAAGAATAAGTTATTCAATGATCTCTGTCTAATTGAACTGTAGTTGTTCGTACCTGCGGTTACCTCCCGTTAATGTCGGTCTGGACACACATTACGTTGATCAAGTAGATTAGTCAGTAAGGACGGCAGTATCGCAATATGAAACCCTGGGTTCGACTCCCGGTCAAGTCTTGTTAATTTTACTTACAAAACGCTGTCGATGATTATGTTTGGTTTATTCTACTTTTACCTTTTTCCAGGAGGGTTCCGCTAGTACGAAGTTCTTTTTATAAATGATTTATCAAAGCTTCAGTCATGCCGAAAAACCCCAGTTTCCAATAAATAGTTAATTTTTTTGTCGCTGGTACGGGCATCTTAACCTTAATTCAACACTAACAGAATATAATATATCGATATCAGAAGGATGACGTAAGTCAAGTATAAAATAATGTTATTGTATCTAATAATACATACATATATATTTAAGGATTAACTTGAATATATTTTTCATATTATGGAGATAAAACACACACAAAAAACCGAAGTGTACTCTAAATAAACCGCGAAGCTGTTTATGATGAGAGTACAATTCGTTTTTTTGTGTTATAGCTCTATAACATAAAAATATATTCAAGTCAATCCTTATAATTTTCTCTAATATACACAATCCGTGTGGGAATCAACTTTTATTGATGGACTCTTTTCTCTTAGAAATTATTACGCCGCTGTATCAGCCAATCAAAAGCGACGTTACAAACGGCGACGTATTTTTTTTACGTTATGGGCTGATAACATAATTTTTGAAGCCAATTGAAATGCTTGTTACAAGCAATATTAAATTAAATTTTATTAATTTATTGCAGAAACAGCGAGATTGAAAGGAAGTGACGACATGTCAATGGAACATCAGGGTTCTTGCGTCAGGAGTCGATGACCTACGATAAAGTGACGTCACCTAGTCACGGATCAATTTTCTTTTTGTTTGTTAAAACCATCGACATTAATACATTTTGTATGTGAAATAGTATGAAAATTATTTCATCTTTGTTAACGGAACGCGTTTTGTGTAAGAAACAACCAAACGGGACAGAACGAAACAAAATGGCTGACATTTCAAATCTTACGAAGTCCTCTAATTCCAGTAACACGATACATGATCCCATGACTTTTTTCCTCTTCCCCGCTCTCGTGATCTGTTTTATCGGTATACCAGGTACTTTAAAAACTATCCACTTCTACCGGAGGCAGAGTAAAACGTCTGCCGGAGGCACGCCCATCCTTCTCATGGCTCTTGCTGTCTACGACACGTTAGCCTTGGTTACAAGTATACCTTATATATGCCTTGCCATCAATATGCTCTTTGTTGATAGCCATGAAGGTGCGCAAATGTTCTTTTGTCATTATTATATACCGAACTATCTGGTGCGTTTTCCTAAATATTGCTCCAACTTTTTACTCATGATCATCGCCATGAGTCGGCTTTACAGCGTTCTGCGCCCCCTCACTTGGAAGAAGGTGTTTACGAGGAATTTGGCGTTTGGTTGTACAGGGGCGGTAACGATAGTTATTCCTTTCTCTCTACTTCCCCTCGCTTTCGAGTTTTCTTGTGCGGAGATAAACAACAATACTGTTGCCTATAAACAGCTATCGGATTTCGGTAAGAACCGCGGCCTGTTTAAGACTATATATATATTCAATATGATTATGTATTACTTCGTGCCTCTATTTACAGTCCTCGTCTGTAACATCGCCCTCATCATCTTCCTATTTCATCGCATGTACAACCCAATGAACACTGTACCCTTGACGTCATCACAGGCGCGTGAACTAAAAATGACAAAGCTCGTTCTGGTGTTCACGTGCATATTCGTGGTGTGCGTGTCTCCCCTTGGAATCTTTTACCCCCTGCGAGGGTTGGGAAATTCTCCGATCCCACAGCCCGTGTACCGGGCCATTATGCCAATGGCTACTCTCCTGGAATCGATTAACTACTCGGTCAACTCTCTCGTTTACTATATCGGCAGTGCTCGTTTCCGGGCAGATGTCAAACAGATCATTTGCTGTAAAAAATCAAGGGTCAGTCCCGAGAGATAGTAATCCAGTTCTCGTGCCTTTGTGACGACACTGGCAGGATTAAAAAACTTGGAATGACTTTAACAAATCGTCTGTCTATAATATTGTGGTCAGACTATAAAACAGACCATCTGTCTACAATCGTGGACATACTCTAACAGACAGTCTGTCTACAATCGTGTATAGACTCGAACAGACAGTCTGTCTACAATTGTGGACATACTCTAACAGACCGTCTGTCTACAATCGGGGACATACTCTAACAGCCAGTCTGACTACAATCGTGTATAGACTCGAACAAACAGTCTGTCTACAATTGGGGAATGACTTTAACAAATCGTCTGTCTATAATATTGTGGTCAGACTATAAAACAGACCATCTGTCTACAATCGTGGGCATATTATAACAGACCGTCTGTCTACATGCGTGGAAATACTCTAAAAGACAGTCTGTCTACAAGCGTGTATAGACTCGAACAAACAGTCTGTCTACAATCGTGGACATACTCTAACAGAACGTCTGTCTACACAATGATGCCAGGGAGATATCACGATGTCACCTGGGAGAAAACACATTGTTACTTAGGAATAAACACACTGTTACCTTTGAGACAATTCATTGTTTTCAGGGAGATAACACATTGTCACCGAGGAAACAACACACTGTTACCTTTGAGACAACTCATTGCTGTTAGGGAGATAAAACATTGTTACTTAGGAAACAACACACTGTAAACTTTGAGACAATTCCTGGTTGTCAGGGAGATAATATATTGTTACTTAGGAAACAACACATTGATACCTTGGATATAACACACAGTTGTTCGGGGATAATACACTGTTACCTATGAAATAACAAACTGTTTTTGTGCATATACTATACTGATACCTAAGAAACAACAAACTGTTTTTTGTGTAGATAATATACTGATACTTAGGAAACAACACACTATTTTCGAGAGATAATGCAATGTTACCTAAGAAACAACACACTGTTTTTGGAGAGATAAACCAATGTTACCAAGGAAACAACACACTGTTTTTTGGAGAGATAATTCACTGTTACCTAGGAAACAACACATTGATACCTAGAACATAACGTACACTTGTCAGGGAGATAGCACACCGTTACTTGAGAAATAACACATGGTTCTCAGGAAGTTAGCACACTGTTACTGGGGAAATAACACATGGTTCTCAGGGAGATAACACACAGTTCTCGGGGAGATAACACACTGTGACTTGGGAAACAACACATGATTCTCAGTTAGATAGCACACTGTTACGTGGGAAACAACACATGGTTCTCAGGGAGATAACACACTGTTACTTGGGACACAACAGATGATTATCAGGGGGATAGCACGTTGTTACTTGGTAAACATCACATACTTGTCAGTTAGATAGCACACTGTAATTTGGGAAACAACACATGGTTCTCGGGGAGATAACACACAGTTCTCGGGGAGATAACACACTGTGACTTGGTAAACAACACATGGTTCTCAGTTAGATAGCACACTGTTACGTGGGAAACAACACATGATTCTCATGGAGATAACACACTGTTACTTGGGAAACAACACATGGTTCTCGGGGAGATAACACACAGTTCTCGGGGAGATAACACACTGTAACTACGGAAACAACACATTGTTCTCGGGGAGATAACACACAGTTCTCGGGGAGATAACACACTAGACAGGAAATAGTAAAGGCATAGTTAGGATCCAGCAAAACTTTTCCAGTTTTGCTCTCTCGGTCCTGCCTGCATTTGAAATAGACATGGTGGTAGTTGGGGTAAATTACTCCTAACCGCCGGGAGGTGGCGTTACAATGTAACATTCTCAAGTATCGTAATGTTAGAGAACCTACATCTAATGTTGTATTGATTTGTTTAATCTCTTGACCAAAACTATGCGTCTGTTTTCAAACAGAACTTATAACTTATCACAGTTGTGCGAACTTGCTTCGATGACTGGTAGAAGGCTCGGAACCATCCACTGTGAGTTAACATTAGTTCCCTTTTTATGTGTTGCATGAATACTAAACAGTATTAATTGAGAATGGAATTCCAGGAAGTCTTCAAAATCCATAAAAGTACAAGTTTTGTACATAGTATCACATGTTTTATAGAGAAGCCTATTATACCCTTGGAACAATGTGTCCACTTGGTTTGCAGATACGGTCACACGACAGACGCTCGGACTCGCCTCGGCGTCGTCATGTGACAACTCTGCATTCTGAAATTGTTTTTCCTCGAAACCTAACTTGGTTCTCGATTTCGGAAACGTTCCATTCTAATATCACGGCTTTGTTGCAGGAAATTAAGCAGTGATCAAGTTTGTTAAAAAATTTCGTTCACTTCTGACGTAAAGTCAATCAGTTGAAAAGGACTAAAAGTATGTTTTAAAGAGTAATGTGAAGTTGGTTCAACGTACGGCATACGACATTCAGATTTTAAATGCTGAGCGACTCGAAATGCAATATCTGAATGTCGAATGATGAGCCAACTTCACGCAACTTAATTTGTATACAATTGACCGGAAAACGTCCACCGGAAGTCTTCAGGAGTAATCATAATTATTTGCTACGAGGGAGTATTTATTATTCTGTTAATAATCACCTTTTATTTACATATCCATGCGTTTATGTAGGTATGAATATCATTAGATATTGTTATTTATCTTGTTAAACCATCCTTTTACAACTATGAATCAAGTTATATCAAGTTATATGAGTCACTCTTTTTGTCCTGGACGTTAGCGCACAGCATGTTTTAATGTTGAAGGAAACTGGGGAACCCGGTACAAATCAGCGTGATAGGGCAGGCGAACCCATAACTTTTTTACGTCCAATCAGGAAGTCCAACGCCGGTTGTCTTGGTGAAAGGCGCCATCCACTGTGCCATTCGACCATCCTTTCATGTATACGATTAAAGAATAAAGGAAATTTAACATTTTCTTGTTGAATGTCATAGGTATTTCATGGATACGATAAAACACTGCCACTAAAATATATGATTTCAGGAAAATCGTTTATTTTTCTATTTGTTACATCTTAAAACTTACCGCTTGGAATGACCAAACGCATTTTACTAGTATCTGGTAAAGTTTTCTTACTTTTTGTAATTTATTGTGTATTTAAATGTTTATTTTGTTTTATATAGCATTGTCCTTAAACAATCCTTTATTTTACCGTCTTTTCTTCTGTATCTGAACAGACAATCTGCTGCATTGAATGAAGTGGGTGGAAAGGATAGCTCCGATTGGTCAATACTCAAAGTGACATTTTAACCCTCTGACAAATATTACTTTTTGATATCTTTCATAGTGTGTATAAATACCATACAAAAACAGTTCGTTCAATACTTATATTTACGTTTTCTCTGCCTCTTATGTTCTTTTTTAACTTATAATTTATATTTAAAATTAAAAATGCCCGCCTTATCGACAGTCTTCACAATTTCGTTCAATAGTTTGTACAGCGTATTGTCGCGTGCTGATTAGCAAACAAAGTAGTACTTTAAAATTTTAACAAACACTTCAATTTTATTCCACAATTCAGTATCCATACAATTGCGTATGATATGTCTATAGGGTGATTTAAGTTTATCAATAGAACCCTGAGCTAAAAGTTAGATTTGAAATTGTTTCGATTTTCCCCGGAACAAATTTCGCGCATGGACAAATACAGTGAACACCGTAATTCCGACCTTGCCCTCCACGAGAGAGTTTGTTTTGCCCATTTTGTGAAGAATCCAGGCGTGAATGTATTTGTTGATTGTATGGGAACCTGACAACAGTCGGTAGATTCTAAAACAACCTCGTTATTTGACATGTCGTCAGAAACTGAGGAACTGTGGATGCGAGACGCGTGAAACTGATAGCGTTTGAAGTGAGTGATCTTGCGACGGAACACAGGTTCGTTACAAATGTCTGAAATGTTTATGTGTGCTGTGACTCATATCAGTAGGTCTGTAACATATGTGTCAGAAGGTCTATAGAATATGTGTATTTTCGACACTTGTACCGAACCCCTGTTGATCAGTGCAGCGTAACACGATATTTCTGATAAATTGCATGAGCGTTAAAATTGTTTCCATTGCCGGCATTGGTGATTTCAACCGATGTGCATTTTGTACGATATTGCAGACCTTGGTCTTGTTTTCGTTGTAATAAAAGTGTTTTTTATTTTATTTTTTATTTTGCACATAGATTTACAATGACATTGTCAAATCTCACAATGCCCAGCGATATTTCAGCAGCCGTCATGTTTATTTATATTGGATAATGTAGTTCCGGTCAGTGTTGTATTAATACGCTAAGAATTGTGCCTCGTTAAGCATGGTAATTAAAGTCCAATCAACGACACAGATTTCAAAGAGGCTATATAGTGACAATGCCATGCAAATGTAAATATTACTCGTTCAATTTCGTTGCAGTTGTTAGAACCAAATATTAAAAAAGTATCATCACCAAAAGTCTAGAAACGCTAATTAAATTTTCGGAAATATCATTGATATAGATTAGAAATAAAATCGGGCCCAACACCGAGCCTTGAGGTACTTCAGCTTGTAATAACTGACTATTCGAAAATGATTCACCAATAAAAGCTTTTTGTTGTCGGGCCTGTAGATAATTATAAATTAAGTAAGTTCAAGATACCGACCCACTCAGGTAACAGTCTTGAACATGTGAACCCATAACAACTGGTGTCAGAAGCGGTTTTCAGAACAACTGTCGCAGACCGTCAGCGCAGGGGAATAGGTCCTCTCTGTCCGATGGCTTGCTGTTGTCTCTCCAGGGCGGAAGTCTGGTGGCACTACCTTGCAGGGGAACCGGACGCCGGACCATCAGTTCCGGATTCAGTGAATATAACTCCACAACACTGAAGATTTTGTGTCATTTTGGGGACTGTTTCAACTACAACGATCAAATATAAGTATAAAAATGATATATATTTATTTAATACGACATGCGTTGCATTATTATTTTAACAGA